CGGTTGGAGGGACCGTCATCAGCCACGGTAGCAAGACGCAAGCTATCGTATCTTTGTCGTCTACGGAGGCAGAGTACATTGCTGCCGGGGAGGGTGTGAAGGAAGCTTTGTTTGTGCGTGCAGTGCTTTCGTTTATTGCCCCAGAGACCAGTGGCAGCAGCATTCAGGTCCTTGAGGACAATCAGGGGGCTATGGCTTTGGTGCAGAACCCCCTTAGCTCAGCGCGTAGCAAGCACATCGACGTGCGGTACCACTTCATTCGTGGATTGTTGAGGTCGGANTTCAGGTCCTTGAGGACAATCAGGGGGCTATGGCTTTGGTGCACAACCCCCATAGCTCAGCGCGTAGCAAGCACATCGACGTGCGGTACCACTTCATTCGTGGATTGTTGAGGTCGGAGGAAATCTCGATCAAGTTTGTGTCGACGTCGGAGCAGCATGCCGATATGCTTACCAAGGCTCTTAGCAAGAGCAGTCTGCAGTACCAACGGCGCAAGTTGATGAATTTTCCGGAGTAGCTAGCAGTTTTTAGCACTTGGGAGCGGCCATGTTTACCATGCGGGAAAGTCGCATTACTGTCGCGGTCTGTGTACCCATGGCAGTAGTAGGGGGCGTTGGGAGACCATCGTCCGGGGGAACGTAGTTCCTTGAGATCTTGTCGACGCCTTGGCCTTTCTGATAAGTGCGGCCGTTGTACATCCACCGTGATAGCAATGGTTTCTGTGTTGGATACGGTTTTCTTTGGAGGGGTTTTGCCCGGGGGCCGGGTTTCCCCTCCACCATCGTGTGGTTTTTTATTGATGTATCCGGGGTGTTTTTTGCCCCACTGATGGTTAGTCACTCGCGTGAAGAACCNCTGCCACGACCGTTTTTTGGCCTCTGACCTGGAGGGCAGAGATCTTCGACGAAGTGGAGAACACCTCCAAATACTTTCCGGCTGCTGAGGTCAGGTCTTTGACGAGCGGGAGGTTGTCTGACCGGCCGCCTTTTGCCAGACCGCCCTGACAACGGGCGAAAGGCAGGCATTGAAGGCAACACAATTGACCGTGGGCGGGTTCCGCGGTAAAGACGAATTGGTTCTCCCGCGGCGAAAAAAACTTTTTTCAAAAAAACGCTTTTGGTTCTAAGTCTAAAACGACGTTTCAGCGATTAAAAAAAAGAGAAATAAAAAAAAATCAGTTCGGATCATGCCGAACTTTTTTTT